TTCACCATAATGGCTCATGTCTAACAGGGACAACCTTACAAAGATGCTATGTAACCGTTAAGTGTTTTTATTATCTGTGCAGTGTGCAATCTACATATCTGTGCTTTATAGATAGATATGGATATATATCTATATAAACATATAGATATATATCTATATATCTGTCTATATTGTGCCCAAGCTATCAGTCGAAGCTGAAGTTAGTTTCTTAATTTTTCACTATCTTGAGCTTTTTTAATGTGTTGTACTTTAAAAACTATAACACCTAGACATTTCAAACCTAACTAGATTATTCTGTACTAACAGCAGAATAAATAAAACATTTGGGAAACCTTCTAATTGATTTGTGAAATTTGTAAAATGTCAATAATAGATTCCAGAACGCATTAGATCTGAATTATTAAATTGGCATTGTTATTTTAACTTTCCGTTTTCTTTCTTTTTTTTTTAATTATCTTTATTATAGCTGGAGTTGGACAGTTCTGTTTGATGGCTTCCTGGAGGGAGGAATTGGCTGAGCTAATGCTGCTAACAACTTTTCTCCTATTAACTTTTTTGCTTTTCTATAGAAAGTATTTCTATCAGTTGCTCTTTTTCCATTTTGCATACAGTATTTGCTCTATTTTTTTATTTTCACCTTAATGCTTACTTGGTCAATCGAGGTGGAAATGTACATCCTCTGATTACTGACAAATGTCAAAACGACATGGACTGAGCTGGTTTCGTCAGGTCAGTCTGAATGTAATTGTAATTTTAAGACATCGTTATAAAATTGCATCTTTATTCTGCTGTAATGATGACTGCATTCTTGCAATTAAAAATTCTTGTAGGCTGACCTTAATACTCCCTTATACAACAGATGATTGAAATAAAGGCACTTTTTGAAAGTATTTTCTGTGATTTTATTATAGAAATTGAGGACAGGAGGAATCGATTAAAATCAAATCTGGTATGAAAAAAATCTTGTAAGTCATATCATCCAGCCTTGTTCAGTATATTAACTACATATTAATATTCACATTTCTTTGCTGGTATTACCTAAAAGTGTTGCATTTTAATCTCACTTGAATTTCTGATCTACATGCAAATACTTGATATAGCATAAACACCGAGCAAAGGGGGGAAAAAAAGGTTTGTGAAATGTCGAGTATTACAAATGAGATTCAATTTTATTGTAGGTACAAACAGGATAGCAAAATGAACAGTGAATATACTTCCTAGCAGTTACTCAGACACCAGACTTGTTTCTCTTTATTGGTGATGAAAACTCGTCACTCTGGAGGAGAGGAAGACTGGCTCAGCCCCGTCCAGGATGACTGCAGGTAGATTTTTGCATATCTGGTCCTAATTTAACCAAGTACTGTAAATAAAAAGTTAGTCCACGTTGTGATGATCCGGCACACCGGATCATCCATCAGCTGACGAGCTGATGGATGGCGTCAGCAGGTCCAGGTGCTTGGATCCAATGGAAAGGTAATCGGCACAGTGGCTCAATCATGGCTCAGAAACACATCACAAGGTGTTGCGACGCAAACCTGAAACATTTAAAACAAACAAAAAAACTAATAAGCGTCCATATTTAGCTGCACAACGTAATAAAAACTAATAAATCCTCAGCTCTTTTTGAGAGTTTTGCCTGAAAATAAATTGACAATATCTCAGGAAATTAAATGTTTAAGTGAAATAGTTCTGGTATCACAAAGAAACTGCAAAAAAATGTTTCAGAGGCGCAACAACACTGAAGTAACTGAGTAAGAGTGAAATGAAATATTTACTACTTAGAAAATGCATGTTAAAATCTGAATACTCTTTTGAAGGTGTGCAGCTGAAATTAATTTAAGCTGCTAGCAGACAAAGCACAGTGTTCGCCTAATGTCTGTACCAACAGTATTACAAAAAAAGAGATGCATATAAGAGTGATTTCATTAGTTTATAAAAGTCGAGGCAAACCTAAATTTACCATTTTAAAGACAAAAAGCAGTGGGAGAATGTAACTTCATAGCATCATTTTCTAGAGAGAGAGAAAAAAGAGTAATTACGTTGTGTAACGCAAGAACAGATTATAGCAGCCAAGTGGAAAAATTCACTCTAACGTGGATTATAATTATGAAACAGCAAAGGTAGATGCCATATTTTTGGGATTCGGGAAATACGTGATTTCTACCATCTGTACCACTTGTTCTGTGGATTTTCATGTAGATCGGTGCCACTTAAAATGCTGTAAAGGGAAGGTTTTGGACCTTAATCTGACTGACTACTTGCGTGGTTTGGATGGGACTGAAGCGTTGCTGCTCTCGGCTGTTCTTAAATTACCGTGCTCGGTATCGGAGGGTCGCTCCGACTGCATGTTAAATGTATTTTATATAATTGTCATATAACAAAAACTAAGGAGTTGCCTAAAAATAATTTCATACTCTGTATAACACAAACGCATCAACACACGTTTTGACTTACCTTGTGCCGAATCGCTGCTTCTGTTCTCAGCCTGTTCTTGTAGCAGTGAATTTCCTCCCGCATTATTTTTTCTCCAACAAATTATTCCACTGAACGAAGCGCGTACAGCTTCCTTTTAATCTCCGTCTTCCTATTTCTGACGCTGGATCTTCAGTATCCTCAAGCTTTGAAATAGCAGGCAGCTACAAGCCGTGTGTTAGCTGTAGTGGCTAAGTTTTGGCTACTGTCCGCTGTCGCCTTGATATCAGCAGGAAAATGAAAAAACTAAGCACTTGATGGTACCGGCTAAATTACTGGACACAAACTCAGTTGTTGTACCAGTAGCTCGCAGATATTTTAAGTTTTGTGTCTTTTTCATGGTACAGATCTTCCAGCTTTGGCTAAAAACAATAATAGCAAGCAGGACCCGGAACCAATCTATGTGGCATACATTTAAACAGAAATACGTCACTACCTCTCGTGGCATATACCCCATTGCGTTGAAATTTAAAATACATCAAAATCTACGTAATAAATGAATTAAAATTAGTGCATTAGACGTCCTGTCCCTAATACTTTAATTTTTTAGAAGATTTGTAAACTCCTACCACTTTGTTTCCAGGTGTGTCTCTACAAAGTCTCCATTTCAAGGACTACAAATCATTTCCCTCAGGCCTACCACTTGAGAATGAAGTAAAAGTCAAAGAGTGAGAGACAAGAGGTGAATGGATTCAGCCTTCATTCAGTTGCTGGTTTTCATTTGCTTTTTCTGTTCCACGCTGTAAAGTAACTCCTTTCTCCTGTTCTGCTCCCCTGCCTTCAATTAAATGCGTAGACGTTTTATCCTATGATTAGTGTCTTGGTTGTTTCAGTGGGTAGGCTCATTATCCATGTGCCCGTTAGTAAAAGCCTTAACGATGCCTAACGAGACGTCTAATCAGACGGATTTTTTAGCCACAAAGGGCTAATTGCAGCTGTTGCTTCTGTCCTCCATGGAGGCTGAAAGAGGCAATGGGAGAACCTGTTTGGATTGTTGGCTAAAGTGCACACACTATAAAAAAAAGGAAAAGGAACATCACAAACGCACACAGCATTTATTGGCTGTTAAGAGCGATGTTTTTGTTTCACAGAAGGGAGCCTCTCTGCGGCAGTTCGTCATCGAAGAGCTGAAAAGGCCGGATGTGGAATCACAAACACACACAGACACACACCTGACACAAAAATACAGCTAACCAGGCTGTCACACAATGGACCGATGTGGACGTCTGTGTGTGTGTTATAAAGTGGGGCATGTATTCAGATCTCTTTGTTGATGTCCTCTCTGATTTTGTGCCAACATTACATCCATCTGTCTCCATGACACACACAAACACACACACGCATACCAAAAGCTGTTAGTTCTGGAAAAGAGGAATTGCTCATGTTTGTTCTTTGTGTTATTGTTCCACTCTAGAACCAATTTCACCAGAAAAACTAAAATACATATGTAACCGTGGTTTCCTCCTCAGGTGGTTTGAACTGGACATAATTACTACTCTAAATATGTTCAACATTTTTATGACAGACAAACATTTTCTCAGATAGATTACAATGGTTTGTTACAAAGCCTTTAAGTTGCTTCATTCTCACTTTAAATGATAAACCATTACTCGTCTTCCAGTTCATTTTGGTTTCACATTAGCTCTTGCTAACAGTGTTAGCTCCTGCTCATATTATGAACAGTAGATCATGTTAGCTTGTTTCAACAGATATCTCTTGCATTAATGGCTCATGAAAACTTTGAGGCAGTTTGCCTCAATCCTGACGGACTCTTGGAGTAATTTTAGTAGCCCAATAGGTTTACCAGTGTTCCAGATTGTAAACCATATGTGACTGTTATTGTGATTCACTAAACTCCCAAAGCCTAAAATGTCTTAGTAGCGCCTTTTTAACTGATGTCTATTTCTCCTAACATTCTTTAGATTATGGGATGATCTAAAAGGGTTTTATTAAGATATTTTCAACCTACTTCATGCTGTGAGAGGTTCCTATTTAACTGATCCAACAGGTCAGGCAGTAATCATGGGTATATTTGGTGAAAAATGGTTATCACAGTTAATTTGTGATTTAATAAGGAGAAAAATACATAATTTCTACACAGGACCAGATTACATCTTTCCTTTAATAAATACCAATTTTTTGTTTGTTTTATAACAGATTTTATCCTTATGCGACTTAAAAATATGCTTGATGACCTGAAAGATGCTGAAAAGAAGAAGAAAAAAAAAGGTTCTTCACAGCACTGTGTAGATTATGTAGGTACCAGTACTTGAAAGATGTGCTGTCATATTAAGTATTGGTAAATAAAAATCATTATTAGGAGACTGTTCAGATATAAATGTATAAAAACCATGGAGAATTTAGAATTCTTACATTTTTTTAAATATTTGTTGGGTTTGCATCTATAATTCTCCTGCTTTAAAAAAATATTAAAATAAATTATAATGTAAAGCCGTTGATGTGAATGTGTGTTTTTTTTCTTTTTGTTTTTTGGTTGTTTTACTAATTAGATAATAATGATCTAATCATGTTTAGCTCTTCCTGACGCATTCGGCCCTGTGAGGAACCTCAGCTTGGTTGCAATTGCTGCGTTTGACCAGTAGGTGGGGACATGTCCGGCCTGTTGTTTTTGGCCTGTTGGGGGTTTTGCTGCCTGACGGCGTTTATCCTATGGCATCTCTTTCTGTATGTGTGAGTGCTCACTGGGTTCCTCTTTTGTTCACTTCAGTAAGTGTGTGTCTGTGTGTGTGAGTGTGTGCTGACCTGATAATCTGTGTGCTTTATGGTGTACTGTTCACACATTGGTCTCCACTCTGATCCAAAACCCAAACACAGCGGCCCTCCTCCCGCCTTTATCAGCCCCCGCACGCTGTCGCGCAGGTGGAATATCCCTCCATCCTGTGATTAATAACTTACACGTTCTTCCTCTACCCTCTTTGCTCTAAACTAAATGTAAAGGGGAAAAAATTTAATCATTTCAAATAAAATTTTGCCCAGCTATTGATTTATTTAAGTGAATTTGAAATCTCAGCCAAACAAGTTGGTGTTTTTTTTGTTTTTTGTTTGTTTGTTTTAGACGCCGTTAAAAGAACTGTTTCTGTATATGCTTCCTTTTCCCAAGGCCAGTCATACTGATCGCACACCGAATCCCAAACTCAAACACCCATTCTTTATCAGGAAACAC